CTACCCACCTCCCACCCTCCAAATATGTGGGTGAGTATGTGTGTGTGTTCCCAAAATATATGTCCAAAAAAGAATAGAAAATAGTAAAATGAACTGTGCCCATAAATGGAATATTATATAGGTAATTTAAATGATGGTTACAAGTTTTATGCAAAGGAATTTTTTTTTCTGTTTTGTTGTTAACTGGTAAAAGGAGAAATCAAAATTGAGTAATCAGTACGACCACAAAGTCCAAGGTACAGAAAAAGAAGACCTAGAATAAGATTGGAGAGTGAGTCTGAGTGTAGCTATATATTTTTTAAAACTGAGTAAAGCTAAAAGCCTTAGAAAAATATGCTCAAAATATTAAACATTTGTATCAAAGTGTCAACAATAGTTATTTCATATAATGGTTGATTTAAAATTTTTTTGCCTTTCTGTATTTCCAAACTTGAAATAATGAGCAGGTGTTGTTGTTGTTGTTGTTTTTAAAGATTTTATTTATTTACTTGACAGAGATCACAAGTAGGCAGAGAGGTAGGCAGAGAGAGAGGAGGAAGCAGGCTCCCCGCTGAGCAGAGAGACCGATGTGGGGCTCGATCCCAGGACCCTGGGACCATGACCTGAGCCGAAGGCAGAGGCTTTAACCCACTGAGCCACCCAGACACCCCAGGTGTAGTTTTTATAATACAGGCAATCAAACCCTACAATTCTCCAAACCTCTGCAGGGAAATGAAACTGCCATTTCTTTAGAAAATGCTCAGGGAGACCAAGGACACTGGTCCCTTCTTTTAGTCACCCCATAATTGTGAGGGCAGCTGCCCAAGGGAATATTCTGGACTCAGGCTCCTCTCACCACCTGTCATCCAGGCCAGAAAAATGCAGGTTACCACACTGACCCACAGCCCCAGCTCAGATGCTTCATGCTTCTCTGCGCCCTGACCCCACAGGCCTGCCAGAAGTCACCTGGTAAGCCTGAGCATTCACACGTGCACTGGCAGGGCTCAGCGATCTCTCCTAGTTGGGCTCCTTCTTCAGACCCAGGCTGAGAAGCTGAGATGTTTCCCTCATTCTATAATCTTGTACCTACCTGCCTGCTCCTCCAGGCTTAATTAGCAGGCCCCACCCGTTGTACAAACACCCCTAATCCAATCCAGGCAAAGAAGGAAAACAGAAGGGGGCATAGTGGAAATGATGGGGGATATAAGATGTACACCCTTCATTCTTTGTTACAGCTCCATTACTTCCCAGTTTCTTGACTGTGGGCTCTTCAGCCTCAGTTTTGTCATCTGTCAAATGGGGACATCTGTCCTTGCTACTTAACTTATATAAACCACTCAAAAGAATGTAAGTAACTACTAATTTTCACCACTGGCATTTTATTAAGTCCATGTCTTTCTCCAGCAGCAATAATAGCACCTACAGCCCTAACGTTCACTGTCCAATCACTGTGTTCCAGAGTGTGCGCTGTGCTTCACAAAGATAATCTCATTTAATCCTCGTGGCAGCACTGTGAGGTAGATATCACCATTATCTTCAGTTTCTAGAAGTAGAGACTAAGGTTCAAAAGATTAAAGGCTTTGCCAAATACTTCAACTAGTGGAGAGGTAGAGGCCGGCTTTGACCAAGGCAGACTGATTCCCGAACTCAATACATAGATGTCTAATTGAATCAGATATTGAATGCATCAATGAATGCATGCGGCGGCATGGACTGGGAGCCCTGCTTGGAGGTGGTATACTTTGGCTACTAGACTAGCCTGGGCCCACTGGGAGAGAGGGGGTCTGAGGTGGTGGGACTGGGCTTCCCGGATAGAGGCAAAATGTAACAGTCCTTTCTGTTTTGTCCTCTTCAAGGAAAGGCTGGGATTCTAGTGAAAGTCATCACTATTTTGAAAATCATTTTCTTGAGTACCCCAGGCTCATTCAACCCTGGACCGATCTCTGTGGAAAGTCAGGAGCTGGAAAAAGCATTCTCCCAGCCCTCAGGAAGTTTCCAGTCAAAATGGGCATAGAAAGAGCCAGCTGCAGTGGGTCCCAAAACTTTTTTTGCTCCCGCCTCTCCCTATGCACCTTGGAACACCCTTCTCTGGACCTCCCTGACTGAAATCCCATCCCCCCTCCAGCCCCCACCAACTCGACAGCACACACAGGGCTCCCTCCACCTGAGCTGAAGAGATAGGTAGAGATAATCTCATTCTGTCTCCTTGGGAAGAGGAATGACTAGTCTGATGTTGCACAGCTATTACCTCCAAGGTGAAGGTCAGCATTTAAATCTCCCAACTCCTGATGAAAGGTCTTCCCCTCGTCACAGCAAAGAAGAGCTTGAGTGTCCCACTCAAGCAGACTTTCTGGAGGTGGGAAGCTGTCCAAGGACTCTCATTTGAGTTGAGAGGAAAGAAACCATGTGGTAAAGGGGTCAAGAGGAAAGAAGTTCATTTGAATTCATACAAGAACTCACGGGTAGAGAAAGGAGGGAACCACAGTACAGGGTTTTCCAAGTACTCTGCCACATCATCAGAATGTAAATATTTAGCCCAGTTCCTTATAGAAATAGAGCTCGTAAACCATTTTGCCTGTGCCCATCTCCCTTCTGAAGCCCAAAACCTGACAAGTCAGTTACCAGATTTGGTGGAAGACGAGCAGAGGTAGGAGGGGTGTGACCCAGATTCTGGACTAGTTTCCTATGACACTTAGGAGGAAAGGGAAATCCAACCCCCAAAGCTGGTGCCTCACTCCACTACCTGCTTACAGCCAGATTTCTTTCAGACCTCAGGCCTGTGTCCCTCTGAGCTCATCTACAGTCTTGTTTTGCTGTTTTGGAGCCCAACATAAAAGTAACACGAGTCTGAGTAGATCCGAAGAGAAGGACTTCATCCCAGGTAGAGTAGAAGTGAGGAGTACAAACCATAGAAGAGGTCAAAGACTCATACCACCAATAGTCTCAACAATTAAGATAGTTGAGAATAAAAGCTGCCACCTTACCTGCCTCACCTTCTTTCCCCTCAGAATGTTATCAGTACAGATTACTGTTCCCAAAGCCTTTAAGCAGTGCGTGATTTGGGGAGTGGAGGCCCGGTTTCTATGCCCACCCTGGACTTTATCTCTTTCCTTATCTATACTGGTGGCTCAGAATCACTGATGCCAAAGCTCCCTTCCAGCCCTAATGTCTGGGAGACTAGCCCTGTTTAAGGCCATGTTCATGTCTCCATAGTAAATATACTGTAAAACAGCCAGAACCCTTGTCCTTCTCCTTTCCAGCTGGCACCCTCACCTCCACAGACCTCCCCCACCTAACCAAGGCTGCAGCAGGCACAGCACACTGGACTGATCAGCCTCAGGTACTGTCTGTCACCCTGTGGCCCGTAGCCTTCAGAGCTCTTTCTGTCCCACACCCTCAGACCTGGGGACAACTGGTCTGGGATCAGATGAAACTATCTATTCCTTATTAATGTCTCCCTGATTTTCCTGAAGTCATCTCAATAGCCTCTAGCGATGCAGAGGGGTCTCACAGACTCAGCTAAGGCCTCACCAAGATTTTGAAACTAAAGTAAGATGAAAGAGAAGAAAATCCCCCAGGATTTTTTTTTTCTGGTTTTAAGCCACATCTGCTGCATTGAATACCACATACATATAGCTTGACCTGACCCAACCAATGCTACCAACTCCCATTTGGGCAACTCTGGCCAGTTTAATCCCAACCTCAAGAGCCCAGCCCTTCCTCAGCTCCAGGAAGCTCCAGTGAGATGACAGGCCTTTGTGGGAAAGAGGCTGAAATCATCCCAACCACAGGGGAAGTCTGCCCTGATTGGGACGTCCAGGGCTAGGGGGTCTTAGAGGACAGTTGGATGTGAGACAAGAAAAGGGTCCAGTATCTGTTGGATATGTTGGGGGATTTCTCTGATGGAAGTGGAGAAATGTTCTGTGAAAATAGTGGTTATTTTGGAGATTATTTTATAGTCCTTCCCCAGAGACTTCCCCAGATCCTCTTCTTCAGCCTTCATCGAGAACTCCTGCGGAGGACTTAGGGCTTTGGGGATGTAGAGTGTTCATGACCTAGGTTGAGCTAAGGGAATTTTACATTGGAAGCTCAGAGCTGCAGACAGCCTGGATGGAACTCAAGGGGCCCAGCTGATTTGCCCTGAGAAGAAGGAACTCAGGTCAGAACTCTTGTCAGAAGACAGTTGGGGTGGGGTTGATGCTTGGGGGTAGCTGTGGGAAAAGCTTGTTAAGAGTGGCTTTTTCTGGGAAAGAGAATTTTCCACAAATCCCATCATCATCCTCCTGGCAATCTCACAGTCCCCAGATCTGGAGAATACTTTATAAGAACATCACCCTCACACCCTGACTCCAGGGCTTGCCCCTCCTGTCTCTGTTCTTAAAGACTTCCAGAAAAAAATACCCTTGGCTTCTCCCAGCCACACTGCCTCAGGGCAACATGTCCCTGTTCCAGGAAGCTTGTCTTTTATCACTTCCCAATCTCTCCATTTTCTGGTATCTTCAATCAGACAACAATGAGTAATAGCTCTTGGATACCTACTCCTGCCAAAGCTTGACATTAAACACACACCACATGTTATCCATTGCAAATGAGGTTTATTATGCAGACACCAAGACCACAGTACTTCAGATGCAGAGCCAGCAAGGTGGGCTATATATACAGAAACATGTTTCTCTGGGGGCAGGGTCACGAGAAAAGTACAGGCTTTGAGATGGGGCCCTCCACAGAATAGTCATCAGGAGAAGGACCACCAAGTGGGCAATGCAAGGAGGGGCCAGGAAAGGGGCCACGGCAGGAAGTCCAAGCCCAGGCAGTGCAGAGCCTTCCCTAGGGTTCAGACAGTGTCACTGGCTCCGACTAATTGGTGTGGAGAGAAGATATTTCAAACAGGGTATGTGGGCATCCCTTTCTTCCAGAATGCCCTCAGAGGTGGATGACGAGGTCTGACTTACTGTCAATTGGATGTACAGAGACAGGCTTCTACATTCTAAAGCAGAAGAGTCAAGAGGGGAACTCCACCCTTATCTAAAAGAGAAGGTCACGCTGGAACCATAACCTTCACCTGAGCCAGAACCCCCCTTTTCAGAGCTGGAACCCCCTCTAGAGCCACCTCCAGAGCCATATCCCCCTCCAGAGCCAGAGCCTCCCCCAGAGCCGGCACCTCCTCTGAAGCTGCCTCCAGAGCCATATCCTCCTCCAGAGCTGTATTTTCCTCCACTGCCACCTCCAGAGCCAGAGCCTCCTCTGGAGCTGCCTCCAGAGCTGTATCCTCCTCCAGAGCCAGAGCCTCCTCTGGAGCCCCCACCAGAGCCATAGCCCACTCCACCGCCACCTCTGGAGCTTGAGCCTCTGCCTCCAGAGCTGTAACTTGAACTTCCAGAGCTGTAGCCTCCGCCTCCTCCAGAACCGGATCCTCTACCTCCAGAACCATAGCTTCCAAAGCCAGTCTTGGAGGTCACACTCGATGACATGCTGCTACTGGTCACAGCTGCAAAGAAAGATGGCATCCCCATGGAAATTCTGACTGCCAACGCCTGTGTCCTCCCGACACACCCCACACGGGACAGGAAAACCCCACTACTTACACATAGTGACGTTGTTACTGAGGTCTCCAGACATCCTGTCAGGGAAAGAGAAAATAGCTCATGGCAGGGCCCTTAGGTTCCATGTACTTGTTCTAGAGCTTCCACCTACAAGCAGGCACCTCGACCATTAACCACCAGGGCCTTCCAGAGCCTGCTCTCTTCCATGCTGCCAGACCACAGAGATGGGCAGGCCCCACGTTTGTCCACATGGCATAGCAGCCCAACACATCTCAATTTTTTTTTTTTGAAGATTTTATTTATTTATTTGACACAGAGAGAGAAAGATATCACAAGTAGCCAGAGGCAGGCAGAGAGAGACAGGAAAGCGGGCTCCCTGCTGAGCAGAGAGCCCGATACGGGGCTCGATCCCAGGACCCTGAGATCATGACCTGAGCTGAAGGCAGAGGCTTAACCCACTGAGCCACCCAGACACCCCCGCATCTCAATTTTTTTGGCTCAGATGAAAATGATCAAAAAGCAAATTCACTTCTGATGCACAACCCGTTTTTGTATTTAAATCCTTCGGAGGGATTCTGCTATTCCGAATCCAAGCCACACTAGAAATTTTGAAACAAGTCTGCACTGCGAGCATCTAATTCAGAAAGAACTGCAACCCTGTACAACCTCCCCCATTCTATCTTCCTGCCCCCACCTCCTTGGCTGCATCCGAAATCTTTCCCACTCCTTCCTGCAGGCTGGGGGTAGGGGGCATGGCCTTGAAGACAGATGCAGAGCAATAGCCTAAGCAAAGCTTGGGCTCCTTCCCTGTCATGCTGGCTTGCTGGTGGCCTGGACTACCTTGTCCCCTTCTGGTTGCTTCAGCCAGATAAAATCACTGGAGATATTGCTAACACAGACAAAGGGCTCAGACAAGGTCTTCAGACAGGGGAAGGAAAGGTCCCCTTTTGGGAGTTTGTCACCCCGGAAATCTGCACAAAACCAGGCCTGGCACCTGCTGCCAGGGAACAGCCAGCCAGTCATGCCTCAGCCAGTCAGAGCCTTCCAACGTGGTCCCCTGGCTCTGGGTCACAAGGTGGAGGGAGAAGACGCCATGCACCCTGCTTACCCATAAGCCAGTGTTTCAGGCTGTCTAGGACTGACCTGTTTATACCACATGTTATTTTCTCTTTCAGGAAAGACCAAGATTAACTTATTGCTTAGTGTAATCTGCTTTGACAGTCATTCCTGTACTGATAAATCTACAACTGTACACTAAATGCTTTGGGTCATGAATGGCTGTTGGAGGAACATAGTGAGGTCAGCTCTCAGCTGTCAGAAGGCCCTGCTCTACCCCCAGCTTTCCCTGCCTTAGTCTCCCTTCCTGGTTCTAGGAGAGAGCAGCTTCGGCCTTCCCAGCGCCCCTCACCTGCACTCCTCGCCCTCCAGCAGCTTGCGGTAGGTGGCGATCTCCACGTCCAAGGCTAGCTTGACGTTCATGAGCTCCTGGTAGTCGCGCAGCAGCCGGGCCAGGTCCTCCCGGGCCTGCTGCAGGGCGTCCTCCAGGTCAGACATCTTGCTCTGAGCGTCTTTGAGGGCATGCTCTCCCTTCTGCTCAGCATCTGCGATGGCTTCTTGCACACTCTTACACTGGGAGAGAGGGAGAAAAGTTTTCTGTTGGTTATGGAGAGTGGAGTCTGCCTGGCAGGTGGGGAAGGGAAACAAATGTGTTCAGGGTGTGGGAAGCCAGACTCACTGGCCCTGGAAGGGTTGGGTCCCTCTGGAGTTAATGCGAGTCACAAACAGTGATGCTAAGACCTGCTGTCATCTCCAGGGCATCGTCTTCCAGTCACCTCTGACTAGACCCTTTTGCTTTCCCCATAATGACTTTTGTCCTCACAACACAGGACATTATCCCAGTTTACAGCTGCAAGTGAAAATCTCGGATGTGGACCACTTCATAGAACTTCTGCTGCCCCTGGAGTCAAGTCTCCATCCCATGTGGATCTCTTCCAAGCTAAAGTCCATCCCCTGGCCATCTCCCTGCCACAGCCATTGCCCCACCACCACACCACTGCTGGTGCTTAGGGTTGGCACCCAGTGCAGAGCCTCTAACCCTCCCCCCGTCCAGCCAGATGACCTTGTGCTTTATTTGTTATCACTCCCTTTCATTTGTGGAAGTGATCTGAAAGGTAACACAGTTCTTTCCCTGCACCGATCCTTGCTTTGGAATCTCTTAGACCACCATAAAAATTGTTACAAGCCTTAAATTATGTTGTACTCGAGATGTTTGGGATCAACATATGCTAGATTAGAATTTCTCAGGTTCTCCTCTCTCTTATTCTCTCTCACACACATACTCACACACTCCCACTCCCTACACACACACACACACAACCTCCCACCCACATGAGCCCTGCTCGACCCCCGGAGCCGCACAGCCCTGAGGGCTGTGCCTACCTGCTTCTTCACGTGGGCGATCTCCCCTTGCAGCCTCTGGATCATGCGGTTCAGCTCGCTGATCTCCATCTTGACCTCCTTCAGGCTGTCTCCGTGTTTCCCTGCGGTCACCTGGAGTTCTTCATACTGTATGGGAAGAGGAGGACAGTGGCAGCTTAGAGGAAGCCTAGCTTGAGCCAAGGAAAGTCTAACACAGGGTGGGTCAACCAAGCTGACTTTGAGAGAGGTGGGGAGCTATCTCATATCCCCAAAAGGACTCGGTGCCATTCTCAGTTGAGGGCAGTTGTGGTCCTGTGCTCACTCTTGCTTGGGAATGATGCCCAACTGCCATTAGACAAAGGCACCCCTCATCTCAAGGACGCTCTCCGGCCAAGGTGAAACCCAGCTTGTCAGACAGCTGTGGCTCTCTCTGCTCTCCGCATACCTACCTTGCTGTGGTACAGGGCCTCGGCCTCGGCCTTGCTCTTCTGGGCAATCTCCTCATACTGGCTACGGACCTCAGAGATGATGCTGTCTAGGTCCAGGCTGCGATTGTTGTCCATGGACAGAATGACATTGGTGTCGGTGACAGACTGCTGCATCTGGGACAGCTCCTGCAACACAACAGGAGGTCTGGCCATGGCTTCCCTGCCCACAGCCAAAGGCTGTGAGGAGGCATCTGCCTCCCTGGTATTAGGGAAATATAGATGCTCAGACTAAGTTGAGTGGGATTTGATGGGTGGAATGAAAGTGAGACAGCCACCAATCCCAGGCCTCTGCCAAGGATGTCCAGAGAATTATGGGAGAGGAGCCTATTTCTGAGCCTCCTGCTGTATAACCTTCACCATTTAGACAGTTTTGTTAAGTTTGATGCCCCCAGAAAGAAACCTGTGAATGACAAATGTTTCAGAAGATATGTGTACACATGGGCATGGAGGGGTGGTCTGAAGTACATTAGACATAGGGATGGGAGACAGCGCTCTACCTAAGGGCAGCTGGACATTTGAGGAATGGAGTGGAGGGATGTTGTCCTGTGTTTCCTGAGCCTTCCTTCCTGTGACATCAGAGGAGATAATTCCTCTCCTCCAAGAACTACACCCCAGAAACCCCATAGTGGTCTGGAATGGTGGCAAGTGGGAGTCAACCAACCCCACTCATCCCACATTTTCACTCATTGGGAAGGACTGCTTTGGTGGGAAGGGTGGGAAGCAAGGGTCTCTCCAGGAGAAGCCTCCTTACCGCATCAAAAAGGAATTTAATGAACTCTATCTCCTGGGTCAGCACGTCTGTCTTGGCCTGCAGCTCCACCTTGGTCATGTAGGTATTGTCCACATCCTACAAAAAACGTGAGGGGCCCTCTGGCAAAACTCACGCACGGCTCAAGGTCTGGGCCCCACCCTCTCTTTGTCTCTCTCTTCCACCCAGTCCCTGTCAGCTGCTCTCCAACACCCCAGGCACCCCAGGTGAGCCAGGTATCCACAATGTCATTTGGCACAGAGCCTACAATGCATCTCGACTAGGGGCCCCCATGCCCTCATTCACTGCTCACACACTCCCATCAGAGCTCTGGCGGGACAAGCTTTGTCAACCATTCTCTCCCTCCTGCTTGAGACACTGTGCATTCCCACTATGGGACCTCTGTGGCTTTTAACAGTCCTCAACTCTCCCATCCTGTCTGTCCATCCCACCTCTTCTGATCTTCTCTGGATTTTACACCAAATCTTCTGCCTTCTAGCCTGAACTTGTCAGCACAACCAACAATATCTTTAGGCATTCTAAGGGAGGTCCACCCCTTCCTCAGCACTTTAGAAGAAAATTGAAGTGTTCTCTGTGTTTGCATCGTGCACAGCCCAATATAGGCTTGAAGGAGGTTATTGGCATTGAAATGCTCTGGCAAATGTGCAGAACAGCTCCAGAAGCTTGAACTGTAGAGACACTTCTGTTTTCAAGAGAACAAGTGGTGGACATGTTTCACCTCTTTCCCCTGGTTACTGCTGTTTCCACTCAGAGATGTTCTCCACCCTGTCTGCCTGGACCTGGTGGGCCTCTGAAGCCCCCTCAGTCCCACCCAGCCATGACATTCTCTTCCTCACCTTTTTGAGGGTCACAAAATCATTCTCAGCAGCTGTGCGCTTGTTGATTTCATCCTCATACCTGTAGGGACCCGGGGACAAAGCTGTTAGATTAGTTCTACTTTGTTTACTTTTTTCTTTTCCTTTTCCTACTGGACTCATCCCAAATCCTCCACTCTCTGAGTATGAAACACTCCTTCACTCTCCAAATGGTAACTGTGATGTCCCAAATAAGGATGCATTTCTATAAATTAACTCCCAAATGTGTGAAGAAAACGTGATCTCTAAAGCCCTCAATGTCTTCCTCACAAAGAATTGGCACACACAAGTTATCACCGCAAATGCAAGGGGGATATGAGTGGCCTCCTAGAGGAAAGAGCGGATGGCTACGATCGCTATTTACTCAGCATTTACTCGGCCACCTACTTCTTCTTAAAATCCTCAACAAGGTCCTGCATGTTGCTCAGCTCTGAATCTTGGGATGTTCGTTCTGCAGAGAGCGTATCCACATATTTCTTCAGCTTGGCAATGTACGCTTGAAAGATGGGCTCCAGGTTGGTGGTGCGGGTGCCCACATCCAGCTGCTGCAGCAGCTCCCACTTGGTCTGCAGCACCTGGTTCTGCTGCTCCAGGAACCGCACCTGCAGGGACCACAGGAAGAGTGCAGGAGCTCTGGAATGCCCGTCCCACCAGTGGGCCTCACTTGCCAGAGACAGCCCTGACCCTGCTTCAGGACATAAGGAAGTTTACGTGACTTTGTGCTCACAAGATGGATGCTGGATCCAGCCCGAACTCCATATTTCCACAGACTCCTAATGTTACATCTGGTACTTTCCATGCAGAAAGCTCCTTTTCCTAGTATACCGCCCACTATCTTATTTGCAGCTGCTCCCAAGACTCCAGGCCATTTCCCTCTCCCATTCCGGTTGAATTCCCGGCAAGTCCCAGAAAGTCTTGGGCAAACCAAAAATAGGCGTCCACTGGCACTGCTCCTGAAGGTGCTAAGTGTGAGAGCACCATAGGGCAGGGCTCCTCGGTCTGATTTTTAAGAGCCTCATAAATTTCTTAGGCAAGTTCATCTGCCTTGAAACAGGACAAAACCCTGGAATGCTCAAAAGTGACACCCATAAAGACGTTACAGGTCACAAAACTGAGAATGCTTCTCTTGAAGGCAGGAATTTCGTTCGTCCCCAAGCAGGTTCAGCTTCCCAGAACTTAAGAGAGTGATAACTTCCAGGGAAGGAAAGACTATCTCAGAAGATGTCTTACCAACTTCTTCCAACACCTGCTGCCACTTGGCCTGACTCCTCAGTCCATTACTTGTCTAGATCAGTTTTCCCATGATTTTCAGAATTTTCCAACAATCTTACTTATTTAGGCTGAAACAATAAAGCCAGAGGCATACATAATTCCTAACTGCAGACTATTTCAGAAGACGCAGCTCAGGAAGACAGCATCTTTCCCATTTGGGAGATAAGCCATGCTAGTTGGACTACACCGAGGGCTCCTAAAAGAAACGAATCTGTGCTGTTTACTTTCCAGTGAGAAGTGGAAGTAGGGCATCCTGAGCATCAGACTGAGCCAGCTTCTCATGACTCACCTTGTCAATGAAAGAAGCAAATTTGTTGTTGAGCGTTTTGATCTGTTCCCGCTCCTGAGACTTGACATTCTGGATCTCTGGGTCAATTTTCACGTTGAGAGGCTGCAGAAGGCTCTGGTTGATGGAGACTTCGTGGATGCCTCCACCAGGGAATCCTCCAGGCCCAACACCGCCAGGACCCCCAAAACCTCCAAAGCCACCACCACCTCCAAAGCGTCCTCCGCCAAAGCCGCCTCCACCGAAGCCACTGCCTCCGCCAAAGCCGCCTCCACCGAAGCCACTGCCTCCGCCAAAGCCGCCTCCACCGAAGCCACTGCTGCCTCCGAAGCCGCCTCCACCGAAGCCAACGCCGCCTCCAAAGCCACCTCCTCTGCCACCAAATCCACCACCGGAGCCAAAGCTTCCACCTCCTCCAGCCACACTAATGGAGATGCTCTTGGTGCCTCCAAGGCCAACAAGACTCCGACTGCCAAAGCCGCCGCCATAGCCCCCTCCGCCACCACCATGGCGGCTCAAGCAGGAGAAGCTAGAGGCCGATCTCCGGCTCCCACCGGAGACCACAGCTGAACCGCTGCTAAAGCCCCGGAATCCTCCACCTCCTCCTCCTCCTCTTCGAGATTTGCACGAGATCTGACAGCTCATGATGCCTCTGCCCAGCGAGGAAAATTGAGGTTTCCGAAACGAGTTAAGGCTGAAGATTATGCTCTGCTGTCAGGAGACTGTCAGGGTCCCCTTTTATACTTGCCAACTAGGTGTTGGTGTGCATGGGTGTGGACACACTTTATGCATGGGTTTGGTCTGCCTGGAAGCTACGCCTGGTTAGTGATTATCGAGCTAATAGCCATTAAAAATCTACTAATCAGCTCCATCCCAAAACTTGCTTTGACTGCAAACTTCTCCTGTTTATCTGGGCATCTGTCATGCAATTCGATTTTTGTGAAATCATCAAAAGAGGAGATCAGGACGTGGGTTTCTCAATCTGAAAAATAGACCTTCTGCAGAATGCTGTTCCCTGCTCTGGACCAACCCAAAGGAGGGCAACTACCACCGGGCCTGTGCCGGCTTGCCACCCGATGAGGCTGATGAAAGAGGTGACAGGTTTATTAACTTCATGGGGCCCCTCAGTAGCCGCTTCAGAGTCCTTGCTTCTCTCCCTCTGCTCCAGGAAGAATGTCAACAAGTGCTTTTGTGGAGTACAAATGTCATGTGGGCAAGTATTCATACTCTTACAGAAAGAAGTTGGCTAGGATGCTTCATAAGGGTTGTCATTTTTCAAAATATCTTAACTCCTTCCCATACTACACCAGGAGAGCACAAGAGCCAGTCACTGAAAAGAGGAGAATTTTCTTTCTTGCAACTAAAAGTCTTTCCAGCTATCAACTCTGTCATTTTTCGACTTGAAAACCCAGAGGATGAGGGACTTAGGGAAAACTTCTCTATTCCTGGGTCTGTCTGACTCTGGGTAGTCAACAAGAGGTTGCCATCAAAGGCTTTCCATAACTCTGAGGTCCAAGTGTGTATTGATGTAACTAGTCACTAATCATGGATTATCTGGTGATTCTGCTGAACATCCAGGAAGTCTGACTTCTCAAGATTACCAGGGATGGATGAGTATCAGAAAACACATTGAGTCACCAAATGCAGAGAGCTTCCACACCTAAACTCAATCACAGTCCTTCCTTTGCCTGTGTGGCCAGGCACATGAGTCCTGGAATGGAACTTAAGGTCAGATGGTCTAACTGTGAATAGCAGTTAGTGATTTCCTGGCTCTGTGACTTTAAATTCAATGTTGAGGCTCTGTACTCTTAGCTATAAAATGGGAAACTCACACCAAGTTGTCTGAAAACCATGACATGATACAAATGTTAGGTATCACTACTATTTTGGGTGAAGCAAACTATCTCCTTCTCCTTTCTGGTGCTAAGGGCATGCATTCCATGTAGGCCTGTGAGTTACAAAACCAGAATTTCTCAGGGCCCAGGAGAAAGAGAGCATAACATAACATAAAAAACTTAAGTTTTGGGGGTGGGAGGTTGGGTGAGCCTGATGGTGGGTATTATGGAGGGCATGTATTGCATAGAATACTGGGTGTAAGCATAAACAATGCATTCTGGAACACTGAAAAGAAATTTTTAAAAAATAAAAAATTTTTTAAAAGAGCATACAGCATGATACTTTATTAAACATACATACATCACAAGACCAAAAAAACCGTAAAGTTTGAGTTTAAGTCTCAATTTCACTGTATTTTAGTTAAATGACCCTGGATCATTCAAAATGCTCTTTGAGCCTGAATTTCCTCATTTCCAAAAGCGAATAAGAAGAAGAATATGGCTAGTGCAAAAACAGAACAGAGCAAATATGCATGTGCTAAATGCAGTTCCTAGTTAGTAGCAGAAACTCAAAAAGTGTCATTTTCCTTCTCATATCCCCTCCCCTCAATCTCCAATCCTGTGTCTTAACAACAAGGCCAGAGCAGGAATGAGGGTGAAGAACAGGGAGCTACCGGTTCATGTTACTTAGTTTGCAGTAAGAGAACGCTGAAGGAAAGCAAGCCCATTTGCCACTTTGGGTTTTTTTCTCCCAATCTGGCTTATATAATCATAATCATGCCAATAAATCCTGAGGCTGAAAGATTTGGAGAGAACCTCAATCCAAAGTCAAATGTGTCCTTATCTGTGGCTATCTGAACAATGCCCTAATTGTCCATTACTCCACCATGACTGTGCCCAGGCCATGCCAGCCTCAGGAGTGTCTTAGTCCCTCTGTGAAGGAAAGGAATGGACATTTATCGAGCATCTATTATGCCCCAGGCTTGTGCCAGGCACACAATCTGCATGTGTTCCTGCTCTGTGATTCTGCTTTTACTCCAAGTCTCCCTTCCCATTCTCTCCACTGGACACCTTCCCTTTCTAGAGCTATTTCCAGTTTTTGAAAGTCAAGTTGAGAAAGGAGAGTCCACCTCTTCCCTTGACTTTGATGTCATATACTGTTTTACTTCCATATTTTTCACTACTTTTACATAATGTCCATGTGCTTAAATATTAGATAGCATTTTATTTCCATTATTTCTAAACTTCACCTTTTATATCACCTCAGTGTGCTCATCCAAATAACATGTCCCACATTCTCTCTAAGGCAGTGCAATGGGAGTGAAGACTCAGTTCTGGCTGTGACTTAGCAGCTGACTTCAACTGTGATCCTCAACACCTTCACCTATAAAATGGGAACATTTGCCCTGGATCCCGACTATGCCACAAGGATGTTGACCTGTTGGTATAATGAGCTTTAAGCTCTGCTGTCTCTGATAACAGAAAAGGGATCATCCTGCAGGACAAAATCCTTCTTTCAACAAGCTGCGGGCAAGCACAGACCCCAAAATGCTTTCCCTCATAAGTTTTCAAAAGCCTCTAACCTGGCCAGTGGAACAAAAAGGCAAGCCGCCAGTGTGAAGGGAACCATTCAGCCAGTAAGAAATACACATGGATGCTGAGGGCAGACTCTCCTGGCAGGACTGAATCTCCCCAACCCCCCGCCACCTCCACCCTCTGCACACTCCCTTGGACCTCTCTCACAGCCTGCCATGTTCTCCTTATGCGGCAAGGAGCCACATCCCTGGACGTGAGCCAAGGTCACATTCATCTTTATCCCAAACCTCCAACCCCTCAGCACAGAGCAGGTGCTCAGAGAATAAGTCTAGGATCCAATAATCATGCTTAGGGTTTGGGATTGGGAATTAGCAACCTTCCTTGACACGGGAATGTGATGCGACCAATGCTTGAGTCTTCACAGGCTGCCCTGCACCTGTTCCCCAAGGATTCCACCTGGACCTTGTCTCGGGCTTCTGACTCAGCCCCATCAGGGAGGGGCTCCCCTCCACAGACCAGCAAGGTGAGTCTCTCCTTCCAAGGACTCAAAGCATCACTGAACCAAGCTGCTGAAACCAAGCGGTTGGATTTCAAACACAAAACAAAAACAAACCCTCCTCTTCCAGCCCCAGCTGCTAATTTCAGGGTGCTCTAAGGACTAACAGCCAGGCAGAACCCAATAGTGTCAAAATGTTTAGAAAGCACACAGGCTGGAAATAAGCCATCCACAGGCCAGCTTGCGCAGAGACCTGTAAAGGCAGCAGATATCCCATCCCATCCTCGCACTGGTTGCTAAGCAGGGAGTACTCCATCAGAGGGTCTAGATGATGTTCCAAAGCCTGGTGGCTCTGGGACCAAAGGAATTTAGGACAGGAGGCTTACAGGCTCCCAGCAGGAGCCACCCACTCAGTATCTCCTCGGGGACAAGTCATTGTCCATGATTATCTTAACTCTGCTTGCTCATTTCCCTAGTCCCAGGGTCATCCATTCAGCCTTAACTGCTCCTTTCCTATCTGATGTGTCCTTTTTTGTTGATTTTTTTTTAATTTGACTCCTTTTTTTTTTTTTTTTTTGGCCATGAAGCCCATGACTGTTGATTTGAAGGTGTCCCGGTCAAACTGGTTGTAAGAAGACAGGCTCGTGGACGGCCAGGCACCCACAGCATGAAGTGTCCAACACTCCACATTGTGGACCCATTTTGGAAAGCAGACCCCAGAAACAGTAGGATAAGGGCAGGGACACTGCCCAGGACACAGCAGGGCCTCACAGCATGCTGCTTGAACTCCAGCACTCCAACAATCACGAAATGAAACTTCCAGCCTAGTGCCTGGCACACAGTGGACACTCAACAATGTCACTTCCTTTCCCACTGCTGTGGCCATAGAGGTCACATGTAATTCTCATTTTCTATTTGCGAATTTTCTAATTCCCAGGAGACCTGCACCAGACAGTGGGAAGTTACCCCTCCTTGCTCCATTCTCCACGGGGTCGGTGCCTGGGGCAGTGCACAGGGTCAGTGACCAGGGCAGTGCACGGGGTCGGTACCCAGCTGCATGAACTCAGTGCTGTTGTGGCTACCTACACCTCATGGGGGCCAGTGTCTGGATGCTTCCATGCTGTCTGGTTAGTGATACCACTCTGGCACTTCTGTTCTAACCTGCAACACGTCTTCAATCACAACACAGAGAGCGGGAAAATGGGTCTTCATGGAAAGTTCTTGCTGTTCCCAGCCCCAACTCCCATTTGGGACTGTTTCCCAGGCCACGTTTTCCTCCCACGCTGGCACCAATGTTCTTACTCTTGCCAGTTAACCATATAGCCACCCCAGCATAGAAGGACAGACAGCCATCAGATAGTCCATCCGGCCCCGCCCTGGTTGTGATTTCGGGAATATGGGGGCGTCACAGATACACCACTCAGGCCTTCCTCACAGTCCAGAGATTTCTCCAGGTTTCCCCAGACTTAATGCTGTCTCCCTCTTCCCTACCCTTCACTCTCTGGATGCCTTCCCATTAATCCAGTATTACCCTGCTGCCATCCGCCCTCAGCGACTCTACCTAGACATCTGCCAATTCTTCAGCAGTGCCCCCGCACGGAGCTGTCAGCCCACACATGTCCTCCCACCTCCAGCCCCCGCCTCACCCCTCCCCATTATTAAAGCTGCCCCCTCCTGCATGTGACCCCTTTTATTTCTTTCAAGGCTTCCCATGTTGGCCTGTTTGGGGATAATGGCAGGAGGAGGCAGGTGAAGAAATCCTCCCCCTCAAAAAATGA